AATCACTAATCCTGATGATACTTTAGGCGAAAATTGGCAAAGCTAACTATAAATCGAGCAAAATGGGACTTATAAATTAAAATTCAATGACTGAAATACTGCAGAACGATGTAGGGCCATGTCATTGCAATTAAAATCAGTAAATTCAAAAGGCGCACTAAGTACATCTCTAAAATCTATTTAAATCTATTTTTAAAAAAATCAAAAAAATGTTCAAAAAAAGTGGTACAAAAATTTTTTTCTTTAGACAGGCGCCATTTTGTAAACAAATATTATTAAAAATTTTTCGTAATGCAAGACATAGCGACATTATTGTAGATTGATAATCCTTTTTATTTTTTGATTTCAGATTGCTAGGTGAATTAAAATCGTGGTTATGGTCACGCACCATATATTTGAGACGCCCTACTCCATTAGCTGATAACTAACGGAATTCTAAATTGTTTGCTTTTTAATTTTTGTATGCTTCTAATGTGAGTAAATAATGCATAAAATAATTGATAATAAAAATATTCCTTGCTTTTTTCACAGCACTTCAAAAATGACCTAAAATTCATGTCCCTAGACCAGAATACCCCCTAAGATAATATTTTTAAGTTGCTGGATGACATTTCGTGACAAGACGAAATTTGATTATGCGTTTGCTATTGTAATAAGATAAATATGAACAGGTAAATGAAGCGTGTCTAAGCTTTAAAATGTTCAGTGAGAAATACCAGACGAATGTTCTTCACAAGCCTCATTTTTCAATAATTTCATTTTAGTCTTTTTGATGCAGCTTTTTTTAAAGAATATTCTCAGAATAATTCTCACGTAGAGTTGAGTTTCAATTCTTCGACTTATAAATATTAAGTAGTGACTAATTATTTCAAAATACTGTTCTATTATCCCTTGTCCAGCTTCAAGGTCAGACGATTAAAAACAATGATAGCCCCATAAAGTGACGATTTATCCATTTGTTGTAAGATAATTTTCTACTAGCAAATAATTCAAAACCGTTTTATGATAACATTCAATTTCACGTAACTATTAAGAAAAATACGATTTCAATCCATTAAGCAAACTTCACGAAATCATAATTCCAAAAAATTATAAATATTTTTAGACAATAAAATGTGATCACCTCTTATTGCTTTGTTTGGATAGTCACTAAATGTAAAACAAGTTTATAGCGAGATTGTGGTACAACAGTTGGAGATTCCATCTTGTTAAAATATTTCAAGTAAAGAGAAATCATGAAAGCTCTGGGCTTGTGGTCTCAGACTAGACATCATCATTACCATCCTATCAACACACTCATCTGGCATTCAGTTAGAGAAAGGGAAATTCCATGAGGAACTTACTAAGATCTACCAGGTTTATCGGCAGGTGATATCAAAAGTCTTGGGCAATGGGAGAACTTAGACTCAATCATGAATCCTATTCTCATTCGGTCGTTTACTCTCTCGTGGGTACCTTTACAACTGCGAACCACACATCTGAGGATGAAAAATAATTCTCACTATTCCACATAATTAGAAGTTTTTCTTTGGTAGGAAGAATCCTGTGATTTGACTGAATGTTATTCATGTGGAAAAGAAGTAATGACAGGCCTTATGTTTAAATTATTTTGCATTTGATTGTCCGCGTTCAAGCACTAAAATCAAGAAAAGATGAATTAAATGAGAAAGAGAAACGCTCTCCTACTTACTCTCACTCTTCAAAACTCAACCAATCACAAGTCCACATTTTTTCTTTCTCGCGCAGTGATTTAATTGTCTTCGAGAAGAATGAATAATCAGGAGATTAAAATTTTTCACTTTTAAAAGTTCATCCACAATTTCGAAAAATTTGCAAAAGGAACGAAAGGTTGTTTTAAGAGCAACATTGAAGGATAAAAGTTCAATCTCATATTTACAGTTAAAAATTTCATTTTTGTGAATATATTAGTGAACCTCTTTTTAAACATTTTGAGACTAATAAAAGACTATAATGCAAGTGGCGAGTCATTTAATATGCTCCAAAAGAGATTAAATTTTTTATTTAAAGTTCCAGCTAGCATCACTCGAACACCTTCATTTGGTGAGATATTTGAAAGATGCTTCATTGATTTTGTTTGAGTCCGCATTCACGGAAATGATCTCGCCTCATTTAAAGAAAGGCGAATTGAATTTTTCAAGAGAGATAATTTAATTTGAATAAGGATGAAAAGCTTTGCTCTTGCAGAGTTGACAGTTCATAAGAAGGAAAAAGCCCAAGTGACTGAAACGGGACCATAAATAGGACATTTATTCAAATATAGCAATATTAGACGTTAGAACTCTTGTTGTAAAAGCTTCTGATCTAAACTGACGAGTGAATTCGTTCTCCAGTGGTATGAAGTAGACATTCTGCATTGAAGAGTTACCCTCTTGGCCTAGATGGAAAGAATTACAAGACCAAGGAAACATTTAAGCGATGCACTTTGGTCCAAATCCAATAAATTAAATTAAGGTTAAGGTTGACCAACTCCAGTTGAAGATAAGAGAACTGAATAGAGAAAAGAGTCTGGCAAATTAAAATGCTGGTTATGTAAATTGGTGAATGAAACTTTGTGTCAACCACCTTGTAATGCTAAGGCACAAGTAGACACAATTATATTGGCTATTTTCAAGTACAATATGATTGTAGTTACGGCTTACATTAGTAGTAATTGATAAGCAACAAAATGAAAGGACACAGTAGGAGTTGTCATTACTAAAGTTAGACAACTAAATTAGTTGCCCCGGAAACATTTGTAGAGACATACAACAACGTGTAAGAATTCGAGTCAGTTTGTAATGTTCACAAATAACAGTAAAATCCTCATGTATTCAATGGTACTTGATGACAGTAAAATAGTACTGAAGAGTATCTGATCACGGAAGGCTAAATACTCTCCGAAACCCTCCGGAAGACCAATCTTAAATTTTTGTCCTTATGGAACCCTACCATGCATATCCGCAACTGGTTAGCTATCAAATTTCGTCTGACTGTTATGAGTATTTTCTTCATTTCACTGGAATTGAATTATTTCAGGTTAACCTGAAATCATGAATAACTAGCAAACAAGTAACATGAATCCTGCGTTCTTCACATCGGTCAAAACTTCTTGTGCTTAGTCTAAAGAGTGAAATGAGAAACACTGAGATGCATAAAAAAAATATTGCCAAAATGTAAGCCAGTCTCCTCGATTGAAAAAATCAGAGTATCACATGATCGATGTTTTAAATGGTTTTAAACTGGAAATTTTCTTGATTTTCCAATAAAGCGGCGTCGTTTGTCAATCATTGTCTTCTACCAATAAGAACAATTCTAGGTAATGTATATATATGCTCGAATGATTTCTCCGTGAGTTTCAATGTTATGACGATTCTCCTCAACCAACTGTTTTTCATAATCTACATACTCTGTGAATGTAAGTTGTTCTTCCTTCCACCACAAACGTTCATTTGTTCTGAAACAAAATATTAAATTGACTCAAACCATTTTATAATGCTTTGATCTTGTATCTTAGACGTTGAAAGCCAAGAGGCCTCTGGATCAAGAATTGTGACTACAAGTAGGGGTCCGGTTGGGCCCTTGAAGTTTACAATGTTTGGACCTCCAGTGAGTAATCGTCATTCCTCATAAAAGATACCTTCAATTACATTCTTCTTAAAAGAGTGAAAATGAAAACTGTTACTTACTTCCGTTACAAATTACTTTCTAATTTTACTTTAATAGGAAGGTCAAGTTCATCGAAAGTCAGGAAAGTCGGACAGGTTCGAATTAAATTCCAACGATAATTGCCATATTTTCGGCACAACAATTGGTCGACCATGCACTTTTGACAAAAGTAATTTTTTACATAAAACTGCATGCACATTAATTCTTAACCTACGAAAGTATGAAGTTGTGAGTTATTTTACTCAATTCTTCCACAATAGTCTATTTTCAATACTTTTTTAGGGTCAAACACAGCTACACTTAACTTTGACGATGTTTCCCAATACCAATATATTGAAGTGACAGACGGCAATTACGTGTATACGGTGTATTTTGCTGATGACTGCCTATTTCCTCCTCCAAAATCCGGTATTTGATTAATAGGTTTTTCTTAATATCCATCTAACTATCAATTTGATGCAGCCACTCATAGTTAAAAAATTCAGTAATTGAATAATGCTGTGTGAACTGATTGTCAGTCAAATTCATTTTTAGGGGAAATATTTTCACAATAAATATTTTTTCTCACTTTAGGTGATGTACTGATCCCTCCTCTAATACCACTGTATCGGTATTTGAAGGACGAGACATCTGTTGACCTCGAATTTAAAATCTACGATCTACCTAAATCGAAAACGGTATAATTTTACGATTAAGTGGTTATACATTTATTCATTTGCAAATATTTTTTGTTTCATATTGTTTAATTATTTGTTGCGCTAGTTAAATTAAATAGTGGCTGTATTAACCAATGCTTGCCAAATGTAGCTTTGTGCCATATGAATTTATATTCAAAATTGAACGCTTAATGAGCAAAAATTTTATTTTTTGCTTTTGGTCTAATACAGATAATTCTATATGAAGATTCGTCAGCAATTTGCGTTTGGGCCAACGGTGTATCGACGAATGTAAATCTTTGTCGTAAGCGATTGTGAATAAAACCTTCTTTCATTTCATTCCTATTTCTAACAACACCTTATCTTGCAGCCCATCTCACCATTGATAGCGCCACTCTTATATCTGGGGTGACGATAAAATTAAGCAAGATACCGGACACTCTGGTGACCTATAAGTGGGGAACAGATGAAAGCTCGGTGGCATTAACTCTGGATTGGCAAAACTCAGGTAATAGAAAATTATTACTACTATTCCTAAATATTCAATTATTAAATTTATTCCCTTAAAGGCATTCCTCCTGAAGTTTATGAATGTCAAGGTAAGAATCACTAAAATTTGACTGTAGTAATTTATTTGCATGCATGCCGTTGTTTTTTGACTTTTTGCACTTATTAATTTTCTATTTAAAATTGACTTCACTTTCAACTCTTTTACAAATACCATAACATTGCTTTTGAGACTTATTTGACTCTATTTCCCCAAGATTGTATTTTGACATTTTAAATATTATTTGCACATGAAAACTTGTTTAAATAAATAATTATTTTGACTATTTTTTAAAACATGCCCAATTGTTGTTTCCAATTAAATCACTTTTATTTTCACTTCAATCTCAAGATATTTACTGTATAAATTCAATTATTTATTTTAATCCAACTTTAATTAGCTACAACCTCCAGTGGTATGTTTCAAAATTGATAATTTTAGTATACCTTTTATCAAAGCTTGAATCTTACAATTTTTCAAAGTTCCTTTATCTGTTCACTTACTTTAATTTGCTTATAGGTTATTCCAGGAAACAACATGTTCTGGTAAGAAGAATGAACATGCTATAATTTAATTTAGACCTTCTTTCATCAATTTTAAAGCTTTAATGCTGACGTGGGTTAAATAAGCGATTTTCTAACAATTTTTTTTTATTTTAGATTATTTTTTGTGCCTCAGTTCCCATGTGGTTTTAACAACTTAAAGACGGTAATATGTATAAATTTTGAAATATATGTACATTGCTTAAATGTGTTTTTGCCTCCATATATTAATTGGAATACCCGGTTGATGAAAAATGATATGCCTAGTAGTGGGGATTGAATAACGGAAAATGTGTAAATTTTTCAAAACAGATGTTTCAAAAGCTTTTCAAAACAGGTAATAAATAAGTCAACTTAATTTAAAAGAATAGAATTCTTATTTTGGTCTTCTATTAAGTTGTATAAGTAAAGGGGATTAAAATTTGTTCTTTGGAACACTATTCGTTGCAAAGTGGCAACAGAGTTACCAGGTGGAAGCACTACCAATGGGTTCAATTTATCATACGTTTCGCCACTTGATGCTTAAATTAACATTATTAAATGACTTTGAAAAATTCGATTCTTTACTAAGGTTCAGCAAATAGAGTTATTATGAAGTAGAAATATTTAATGAATAAAAAACTTTATTACCAAAAGGAATGTTTCAAGTCAATATACCTTGATTGAAACAAAGACCATGCAATGCTGTGAATTGCAGTTAAACGTTCAAAATAGACATTTTGTCAATCTTTCACTTCCTTTTTCAAAATACGTATCAATTTTGGATAGCAACTAACCTTTGGTTTGAATTGAAATACCTTAGATAGTCATTTACTGACCAGTTAATGCGCTTGCTTAACTTGTAGAAGTGCCAGGGATGGCAGCAAATCTGTTTGGACAACCCGAAAGTATTCAGAAATTAGATTGAAGAAATATTTTATTTTATATCAAATGGCAGGCGTTTTGATAGTTATCATTAGCCCTTTGGTTGACTTCAGGCTTCACAGAGGGGAAGGAACATCAAAGAGAAAAAAGTAGAGATCGGGGAGGGGGGGAACAGAAGAGTGTTTCAAAGATGATGGTATTTATTTATTTCAAATGGAAGGCTTTATGATATTTATCATTAGCCCTTAAACTTTGACTTCAGCTTCCCCCAAGGGTGGGGGGGTACATTTATAGCAGTTAATTAATAGCAATTCATTAGCCGTCTTCTTGCTTCCCAGTATCTCTGGCTTTCCGTCGTTGCCTTTAGGGCTGGACACCGAATCAGGTGGGTCTTCTCCATTTCCTCCTCTAGGTTACAT